TATTGTAATTTCAATGCGGTAGTGAACATATACAATAAATTGTACTCCTGCCCCGATACTCCATCGATAAACGTAATATTGCCGAGATTGACGCTTGTCCCGTTGTTCGGCCGAGCGCTTCAATTGTCAAATTATGAGACCAAAAATTCAAGTAAAAAGAAGATTATTTAATGCAACTTCTTCTAGTCAAGGTATTGTTTTTAAAAAAATAATGATTATATTTTAACAAAAACTTAAATATAATTATGACTTTAGAATTAAGATAGTATAAACACTAATTATGTTATAATAATACTATATACTTATATAGTATGTATAGTAGTACAAAATAATGTTTTATATTTTTTTTCTTCAGATTTTTCAGATAATTTTTGTAGTTTAAAAAGTAGTACCCAGAATGATATTCCTGATTCACCAGATAATCCAGATATTTTTAACACTTCAACTAATGATTCATCTAATACTTTTGGTAAATAATACTAAACAATTGCCTAATATATATACTTTATACAATATATTATATGTATATTATATATTTAGTAACTATGCAAGAGTCGACTGTTGTACATACTACTGCATCACCATTTAAAGTCACTCAGTTAAATTCAAATCCATATGAAGACATTAAAGTAAATCAACCCCTAACTAAAAGTTCCAGGATGCTTGTTTCAGGTAAGAAAAAAACTTAATGTACTTAAATTCTAAATAAATTTTCTAAAATATTTTTAAAACATTCAAATTTGCTCATTTGATTATATATTGAATAGTTATAATATTTAATTATTTAGAATATTAATGTCAATTATACTATAAATAACTTAAATAATTTTACTCTATAATTATATTTTAACTATTTTAATATGCATTTAATATATTATTTTGCTTTTTATGTAATAACTGTTATTTCTACAGCGACATCTTCATTTCATGTTACTACTATAGATAAACACAAACCAAATTTTAATGCTACTCAACGTGAATCATCTTCTGATGGTAATTATTATATTAATCTCTGTTATTCTTTTAATTTTCTTGTTTATCTTTTTTGACAGAAACATTGAAAAAAATATTAAGTGTAGTCATGAAAATTAAGTATGATGTTGAAAACATTAGTCATAATCAAACTCGAATGGACAACATTTTGAATGAAACTATCATCAATATAGGTAGCATTTCCAGTAATGGTCATGAAAATTCAAATACTAATGATGATAATGATTATTGTTTGCTACTACCACTTCATAATGAGGAAGAACTAATTAATTTTGAAGATAAATTATTAAACAATCTTTCAGATTAAATGTTGTAAGTACTATTTAAAAATAGTTTTTAAAAAGATAATCTTGATCATTGACATTTTTAATATTTCTCATATATAATATTGTATAATTTTTTTTTTAATTTTTTTTCAAATAAATATATATATATATTAAAAAATAATAAAAATAAATCAGTTATAAATAAATATTAAAATATTAATTTTATTATTCCAGGTTAATGGTCTCAAAAGATTAGCAAAAAAATCTTTAACTTCAACAATACGACAAATGCTAAGAACAATATTCGATGATGAATTTTTACAAATGTTCAGTTATGTTGGTCAGAAAAAAAAAAGATATTTTCTTCATTAGGTTCTTGTGCTATTATATTTGGTAATAAAATTTTTTTAACATATCATCTTATTATGTTGTGAGATTAATTATATTTCTAAAGGTAGGAAAATAAAAAAAGGTTAGTGAATTAATGAACTCAAGTTAAGAGAAAACGAAATCATTGTTGTTAGATGTTAATAGTTAATACAAATCTTTAACTTCATTCGTTAAGTTAAAAATTATTTGGAAAAAAAACATTAAATTAACTTTGTTTTAAAAAGTTAATCTTTTTTTATTAGTAGTTATGTGTATCACATAAAGATCACAATATTGTTTATACACCTATTTCTGTTAGTGGTTTATTCCCCTCCCTCCACCTTTAAATATCTTCTCTGACAACATATAATATGATGTATAAGTCAGATTATATAAATAATAATGTTTTTTGAAATTTTTTTGAAGCCATAAGAAAAATCAAAAGTTTTCAAGATATGCCAAATTCAGATATTGAAACGCCAATAAAAATATACTTAGCTGGAGCAGCATTTAGAAAAAAAAAATAATGTATATAATAAAATAACAAATAAAACAACAAATAATAAAGAACAAACCTATTTGTTTTTTTTTTTTTTACAAATTATATAATCTACCAAGTGAAATTAATTAATTATGTTTTATTTCATATTACATTAGAAAATTATTTTTAAAAAAAAGTAATAAGAAGAATTACCTAAAATTGAAGAAAATATAAGTTAACAAATTTAAAATTTAGTTGAATTTATTTATTTATTTTAAATTATTCAATAATTATATAAGTACCAAAATACATGGGAAATTAAAGTATGTTTATATTGATAAACAACTTAATGTACAATTTATTTATATATATGGTATTCTAATTAACATTATTAATATAATTAGTGCCTCGAATATTGAATAATAATAAACTAAATTGTTCAATTAAAAGTTCCTCTGAAGATAATCAGGGAAATTAATATGCAGGTGTAATTATTAAAAAGTTGAAGATTAATTAATTAAATGTTAAAAATGTTAATGAAGAATAAATATATTTTATTAATATAATATTGATTAAAAAATATATATATGATTTTTTTTTTATTATTATAAAAATGTTATATTTGAAATGTTTTTAGAATATTTTCAAACTTGCCAAATAATAATACTATATTAATACAATTATATTATTGTAATGTATTTATATTAAATTAATAGTTATTGAGTAATATTACATATTACGTTTATAACTTGATTATAATGTTATAATATTGTTATTTTGCTACCTGGGTAGAATTCCATTAAGATCTAAGAAATATTATATGAAGATATTTTACCATATAATAGATCTATGTGTTGTCAATGCTTGGTTGTTATACAGACGGGTTAATAACAATGAATCTTACCTACCTTTAGTGGATTTTAAAATGTTAATTTCTGAAGTTCTTTGTGAGGTGAAAAGAACTACTCCAAAGAGAAAAGGCCATCCAACTGCTGAAGAAAACAAAACACAAGGGCTCATAGAAACAAAAAAAAAAAGAGGGCCATGTTCAGAACTTCCTGCTAAAGATGTGTGGTTCGATGGTATGGATCATTATCCCATTCATGAAAATAGAAATCTCTGCAAATATCCTACTTGTTCACAAAAAACTATGATCTCATGTTCAAAATGCCAAATTCATTTATGTATAAATGACAAACGAAACTGTTTTTTGTTATTCCATACTCAATGATTTATTTCATATTATTATTACTTTTTATTATTTTATTTTAACCAAAGGAGGTTCTCATTAAGAATGAAATCAAAAAGACTGAAGAAAGTTCTTATAATTTTTATGTATTTTATGATTAATTAATTTTAAGTAAAGAAAGTTTAAATTTATGTTTTCAATTCAAAATATTGAAGACAGTGTTTATTTTATTATTAACTATAACTATAACTCAATTTATAATTATAATTTTTTACCAAAGGAGGTTCTCTTGTTATTTAGTATTTCATATTTGTTGTATATTTTGTTATAATCATAATAAATTATTAATATACATTTAATATTATGTTCTTTATTTATAACTGCTACCCACATTATTGTAGTTAAGTATTCCAAAAACATTGTGATACATAAAATATAAAAAAAATTGTTGGTAATGGTTAATAATGTATGATGTACCTACCAAGTATGGCACAAATACAAATGTTTATAATTATTGATACTGCATGGTGTGCCAAATATGGCACTTCCAAAAATATTGATAAGTGTCTAATATGCATAGTGTGCCAAATATGGCACCTACAAAAATATTGATAAGTGACTATTATGCATGATGTGCCATATTTGGAACACAATAAACTTAACCTTATAACTTCCAAACTTTTAACTTGAATTTTTTTTATTATTTTTGCCATAATCAGGGGAAAATTTTAATGAAGTAGATTTTTTTCCAGTAAAAAATAAAAAATCATGCAGAAAGGGGTTAAGTCATCTTTATAGTCGGATACATTTTCAAAAAGTGCTTTTGGGGATTTTATAATAGTTTTATAAGAACGTACAAAATGACAAAATTCTTCTTGTAAATCTTCATACTTAAGGTTAACTTTGTCAGCTAAAAACTTGTCACGTTGCACACCACAAATTAATAATAATAAAAAAAAAAAAAAAAAAAAAATGAAATATATATATATATATTAATAGGAAAAGAAATAATAATAATCAAAAACAACAAAATAAACTTTGCTTAATAATGTTAATAATAATAAGCACGAATTATTACTTTTTGTAAAAATAATAACAATAAAAGAGAAGAGAATAAAATTTTTGTAACAACAAATATAAAGAAACAAATGTCAAAAGACAAAAGTAAAATCACACGCAAAAATGTAAAAGGCCACGAAGACGGTAGAAAGCAGACAAGCGCCGCCGTCGTTCTCGACGGTCGTCACACCGTCCGCGAACGCTTCGGGGCTCATCGCCGACTCCGAAAACTGGTTCGATTATCTATCGGGCGTTCCGATTGATAATCGAACGAATGGTGACACCAAGGCAAAGGGGTGTAACGGGTGAGATCACGATATTCGTGTGACACGACCGTGTCAAACTTTAAACTTTCAATCAGACAAATCGAATTAGATTTAATTTCATCAAATCGCCGTGGATCTAAATAAGCTAAAGCATTAATTAGATTTTTATTTTTTCCAAATCGCTCATTCATAGCCATTCCCGTAACATCATAAATTTTTCTGAATACATTTATATGATATTTTTGGTCAGATGATAAATTTACAGCAGAATCAAAAGCACACTCTCCAGACATTATTTTTACTTTATTTTGTAAATTCGTCTTGTATAAAAATATTTTCAAGAGACTCTGTTCGTTTAGTCATAGTTTTTATAAAAATAGAAACTCGTTGTTTGAGATCATTGTAATTTTTTATATCAGACATAGTTTTTAATACTTTCATGATATGACTTATTTTATTCCACGCAGTAATATAATCTAATCCTTTTGTTTGTAAATATTTTGACACTGGAGTTGTTGAACTGAACAGTTGGAGAAAAAGAAACTCTGTTATTATAGTTTCATATGAAGTCCAATTTATAATTAGCGCTCTTGCATCAGATGCAGTGTGTGGATCAGTATTATCAGCATAAGCAATTGTGTGTAAAGCATCTAATACGTAATAATAATGATTTCTTGAGAGTTCGGTTTCGTTTTGATCCGACCAGGCCCGTATTTACAAAAATTGCCGCCAGGGGCAACATACATTTTGCCGCCTCCCCCCTCCATCAAAAAAAAAGAAAAAAAATTACTTTATTGATATTACTCAATATGTAGTAGTAAATAGGAGGTACATTAATATAAAATAAAACTCAGGTATAAGTTGTATAACTAATAACCAATATATTACTTAAAACAATTTTTAAAACATTCTTTAAAATAATATAACAACTTAAAAATAAAAATATTAAATTATAACTTCATAACTTTTTTAAACTTTTCTGCGAGATTGTTTTGATGCAAATGATTTAATAATATCATTGTAATCAATCATTTTGGTTTTAGATGACTCTATGTTTAATATGGCTAAACTATTTAATCTTTCAGATGACATGGTTGATCTTAAATATGATTTAATTCTTCGTAGAGTGGAAAATGATCTTTCCGTTAAACAGTTAGAAGCAGGAGTACATAGAAACATTCGGAGAGCTACATAAACATAAGGAAAAATAGCTTCTATGTTTTTTTCTTTAATAAATTTACACATATTAATGATATTTGTTGGAGGGTTTTTAATTGTTTTAAGCAAGCTCTGAAAATGAACACACTCGTTTTTAAATGTTTCATCCAAATCATTTTTGTATATTTTTCTTAATTTTTTTGCACCATCACGAACTTCTGAGGTTTTTTGTTCACTAATATTTAAGAAAAATAAGTATTTAGATATTATATCATCATAAGAAATTTTTCTTTTTTTTAGTTCTTCTATTAAATTATCACTAATAATGTAAATGGTATTAATTTTGAAATTTTCGCGTCCGTTGAAAATAGCATCTGGTTCAATAGATTCATCATTACGTTTCTTACGTTTTCTATTTTTGTGTTCATAGTCAGGAATTAAGTCATCATTGTCAAACATAGTTTTTGCCAACTTTTCATAATCATTAAACATTGATCGTAAAGTTTGAACATATTCAAT